GTCCTTTCTTGTTAACCCATCTAATTAAGAGTTAAAAATCTTTAACCCAAACTTTATTATTTATGTACGTGATTTGCGTTGTTACTCCTATTTTCAATAAAAAAAAAAAAACTTTGCGACGTCATGTTTAGTTTGAAAAACATATTATCTTTCCTCCTTCTATTTATGTATATTGAACACATCCTTACCTCTATTTTGTAAGGTTGTAATTTATTACCCTTATATTTAGGCTTTTTAATATTTTGTAAGGTTGTAATTTATTACCCTTATATTTAGGCTTCTTTAAAAAGATAAAAATAGCACTTAACATACCATTTTTATTTGTAATTTGAATAAAGTTTTAATTAGTGTTTTAAAAGGCTCGTGCCAAGGCATGTGATGGTACTATGAGAGACGACTCCGCCGTTATGAAAAATTTCATGGTTATATTGTTAGGCGTGATGCGTGATATTGCGTTCCATGACACATATTGATGTGTTATGGCGCGAGTTATTCGTTTGAGACGTGTTTTTTTTTTCTTTTTGTTATTTCTTTTTTAATCGTATCTACATGTATTGTATTTTTTTATTACATTTTTGTTATTAGTTGTTGATATAACACTCTAAAAACTATTTATATTTTATATAAATTCGTATTTATATGGTCATATAATTATAACTTAATAGAAAATCATCACTTTACATCACGTCTTGAAAAATGTTATGATTTGTAAAGCCTAAGGCATCTTGCCACCATGTCACGCCTCACGCATTTTAAAATCTTGGTTTTAATTATATCCAAAGTTTTCTCAAAAATACAAATTACAACCAATAATTAAGTGGTTCAATATTTGGTCCGACTGATAATTGAAGTGAAGAGAATCGGTTTCATGTGGCTAATCCTATAACGGTGGTAGTCTCTAAAGTTGTTCAAAAAATTTAGTATAAAATAATGTTGGTGATTTTAGTGTCACTTGACATTTTGTTTAATCATAACTGACATGGGAGTTAAGGGGTTATCTTTTGTAATTTATATTATATGTTTGGTGAATGCAGAATGCATGAATATATAAGATTGAATTATAAATCGGTACGATCAGAATGACAGTTGTTAAGAGGGTCGTGCCCCCTTGTAGGGTCCTTGGGACAGCACCCCTAGTAGGGTCTAAGGGGCAGTGCCCCTGACGATGGTCTCGCTGATTTCGAGATTAACAAATATAAGTATTCTTCAAATAAATTTGGTATATATAAAAAAGAAAATCTCCGGATAAGTCTTAAACTTTAATCTTACTAACGAAAAAGTCATCAATGATTTTTTTTTTCTTTTTTTTTTTGCTATTTAACCCTTAAAACTGGCACTAACCGGTTACAATGATTATTTTGTAAGTGTTTACTGGTTTTAATGATTAAATTGCCAAAATAATAATAATAAATAAATAAATAAATAAGAGTGTGGTTATTTTGTCAATAGAGCTAAAATATAAAGATTTTTTTGCAGATTTCTATCAATATATTAACAGAAAATCTCAATTTCTTTTATTAGAAAACAATGATAACTTGATATTTTAAATATGTAACTAACAAACTTTATATATAACTGATAAGGGAATGTACAATGATGTAAAATCATTTCTTTTATATGTCAAATAATATGTTTCAGTGTAAAAGTTCCTTATAAGATTCAATGTATGGTATTGATTTTGTTAAGTTTTTATAGGAAATTGTCTTCTCGTTCCTAATATGTGTTTTTCATTATCCTGAAAGTAACATAAAAGTACATTTGTTAAAACCGTTACCCGTCAAAGATACAATTTGAGAAGGAAGAGAATATAGATAAAACCTATACCAATATTTATAACTTAAAAAATGATTATCCATAAAATCTAATTCACTAATTATTAAATGATTATTAACTAATAAGACATGCCTTCCTTACCTTTATATATAAGGTGCTTAATGATTGTAAATCAAAAAGTACTTATCATCGTATACAAACCTTTATCTATTGCTATCAAAAGTCCTTATTTTCCATCAACGTTAAGAAACTAACTTTTCACCAATAACAAATTAGACATTCAAAGACTTTGATTATTTCATGTATTGTAACATTGTATACTATAGTTGCTAAAGCTGAGTACCATTTAACTGCAGTTAAATACCTTTGGGCTTTGGTCCTAGAAATTAGCTTTACTGAAAAACTAGTTTCATGACCACTATTATGCCTATGAATAGTTTCAGCAACAAAGACACTTCTATTGGAGATCAACTTATGTCTCGTCAGTCGTCATTCATTATTTAAGTTTGAAACCGGACCAAGTCTTTAAAGTATATAAAAGTCAATAAAATAAAGTAACAGGTGTTATGTTCTACCTTTTAAAAGACATGTCACGCCCTTTGATTTGGACAAAAGAAATAATCTTAACATTATATACACATGAATTTTGAATATAATGTTTTTTTGAGTATTTAATCAAGGAGAAGGAACACTTTACCATATTTGTTAGTTATAAGTAATCATAAAGTATGATGCTTCCAATAATTACTTTCAAATATATTTCCATATAAAGGATGTTAATTTTATTGAAATATCAACCGTTTTCATATAATATATTGTTTTAACTTTGTTAAAAAAAAAAAAAAAAAAAAAAAAAACACACACACACACATGAGAGTTTACTCAAATACTAAGAGGAACAACACATATCTTCGCTTAAAAAAATCTTTATGCCTATGAATAATTTCAGCAACAAAAACACTCCTATCGCGGATAATGTTCTTGTTTTGATTTTTAATTGGTTAAAACATAGGGTTAAGTTCGGAAATTGAAAGTGGGAGGTTTGGGTTTGTTTCCCTATTGACATTTTTTAATTGTTTTTTTGCCCATTTATTGATGGTTGTGGCCTTTCTATAAATTATCGACGATACATTAATAATAATAATAATAATAATAATAATAATAATAATAATAATAATAAAGAATTTTGCCAAATGATTCAACTATAGATGGCAAAAAGCACTGTACCCGATGAGTATCCGAAACCCTAACCCGAGTTGACCGGGTAAATCCCTAATTTGACCGGGGATGAAAATTACCCGAATACAAAAATCGAGGATGGGGATGGGGATGGTTCTACCTTTTCGGTGATTATAGTGCTATATAGTATTTCTATTAGTTTTTGTTTTGTTGGTTAGTATATAACTATATGTTATTTTTCATAAAAGTTCAAAACTTTGTAATGGGAAAAATACTCAATTACCCATTGTTGATCCCTGTTCCCTATTAGGGATGGGGATGCGGATAAATTTTTAATCCCGATGGGGATAGGGTCGGGTATGGGGATGAGGATTCGGGTATGGGGATGGAGAACATGAAACCATATGTGATTCATATGTAAATCACATGTGATTCACATTTGAATCACATGTGATTCACATATGATTCACATGTGAATCACATGTGATTCATATGTAAATCGCATGTGATTTATATATGAATCATATATGATTCACATTTGAATTATATGTGATTCACATTAAATCACAACTGAATTATATATGAATTACGTATATATGTACACATTCATATGTTATTCACATGAAAATCACATGTAATTCACATACTAATCACATTTGATTCACATGTAAATCACATTTGATTCAAATGTAAATCACATGTGATTCACATTTGAATCACATGTAATTCATATGTAACTGCATGTGATTTACATATGATGTCATATGTAAATGTGATTCATACGTGAATCACATATGATTCATGTGTAAATCACATATGATTCATATGTTAATCACATGAAAATCACATATGTATTTTTGTGTGTTTTTGCATCAATCAATTTTTTAAAAAAAATTTTATTGTAGATTTGGAAGAAATTATGTTGAATATTGAAAAAGTGAAAAATGATAAATTGAAGAAAATAAAGAAATATTGACACGAAAACATAAAAACGATTTGAAATTTGTAGCATTTTTTATTTATTATATTTTATTTTGTATCGAATAAAATACTTGTACTATTATGTTTATAGATTAATAAATAAAAATGTGATTTTTAATTATTTACTTACGAATATTATACTATAAGCAATATGAATATATGCATTTTGAAAAAATATGCATATATGCACCTAAATATTTAGTTTTAAAAAAATGCATTTTTTTTTTTGAAAAAAATTACAGTTTTTTTTTTTTTTTTTTTTTTTTTTTCCAAATGTAGCTTTCTTTAAAAAACTTGCAATCTTTTTAAAAAAAAATTGTAGTTTTTTTTTTTGTGTGGCGGATGATGGTGGTGGGTGGATTGTGGTTGTGGTGGGTGGATGGTGGTGGTGGTGGTGGCAACGGATGGCGGGTAGTGATGGGTGGTGGGTGATAGGTTGTGGTTAATGGTGACAGCGATTGGTAGGTAGTGGTGGTGACGGCGAGTGGTAGGTAGTGGTAGTGATGAGTAGTAGGTTGTGATTGTGGGTGGTGTTGGTTGGGTAGTAAGTGATGTTAGTGAGTTTTTTAATTGTTTGTAACTAGTTTTTTTTATATGAATATTATTTTATAACTTTAATTAAAAAAATTGTGTTGTTCAAATTTGTTCTCAAATGTTCTCGCGATAACAAATATTCTCAATTTAACGCTCCCCTGAATAATGGAATAGATAAGAAGAAGCTAGAAGGGGTTAGAAGACAAATGTTCACATCTGCACCCACCCCTAATCGAATAAGATATTTGGCTTGCAACCATATTTCCAACACCATCACACATCCTAACTATCATATGATTATTCATCCTATTCTTCGGTCCCCACATTAATCTTCAACCAAAAACACTCAATTCGACATGGTAATTCTTCTATTAGAAATGTTGTAAATATGGTCATTTTTTATGATCAACACCCTAAAACCTTAACAGATTGCTTTTTAAGCTAATTTATTTTTAATAAACCCCAGAAAATAAACAATCATGTATGACTCACTTCTCAAACAAACATCTCATAACCCACATAAACTCGTACCTTTAAAGAGAATTTGTTGAAAAACCAACAAAAAAACACAAAAATATTTTCTGTAACAGAGACCACAACACTTCACTTCCACCTAAAAATGGCATATTATGAAAGAAAAAAAGAAGAGTAGAAGCTAATTAAAGATCCGGCATACCCTTTCCTGTTTTAGCATCAAAAGTCTTCTCCAACACCAGCTCCATAGGAGTATCCTTCGGACCAGCTATTAAAAAAAACAAATGGAAAATTATGGTTGCGTATTTTCTATTAAAAAAAAACAATTTATTGCATAAATATATAAACATAGGATTTTACCGATTGTTGGACGTGGGGTAGCCCTAATTTTCAAAAGCTCAGGGCGAGGGATAATTGACCCTGATGCCCCTATACCTCTTGAAACTCTTACTTTACTACCATCTTCTTGATACCTTATCCCAACCTTACACGGCTGACTACAATTTATTAAAAAATATATGTACACATTATAATTTATAACAATCATCTTAAAATGGTGTAAATGCAATAAAAAGTATAAATGAACCCTTTTATTCTTTACTTTGTCACGGGATCGACTATTTGAACATTTGAGACATGTAGAGGGGCTTCTACAGTAAAAATTCCACCTTCATGCCCTTGCCCTTGCTTTATATGCTTCTTTACCTGCAAATATGTTTATCAAGATTAAAGGTCAATTATGGAAAAAATAAAATAAAAATACAGATGATATAAGAGTACTAAATTCTAAACTAACCAAGTTCTTCCCCTCAACAATAACACGATTCTGAGAGCGAATGACACGTTTAATAGTTCCAGTTTCGCCCCTGTCTTTTCCCCTAATAATCATTACCTGAAATAAATGATCAATTTACTCATCCATCAGCAAAAAAGTAATGTCAAGAGTGCCAATTTTTTTTTTATTATTATTATAAAAGCATAACGTATTTTGTTTTACATTATCTCCTCTCAGAATCTTCCAGTGGTGTATGAGCTTCTGAGCTGCTTTCCATCCCATTGTGTGCCAAAATCTGAAAGGAACATTCAAGAAGATGTTATTTGATCATGGTATTTGGTATCTTTAATACACATCTATGGTTCATTATTGAGACATTTCTCGGTGTGTGTTGTGGTATATCAAAATTTTCAGAAAGAAACCATGAATGACATTTTACACCTCTGTATAGGCATAAGCATGAATTACATTCAAAACCATAAGCATAAACAAACCATTTACACAAAAACCCTAAAACTCACATCAAGGAACAAGCTGAAATTGCATCGACTAATACCCAATAAGCAGAATCTCAGAAACGCCTCCGATCATAAAAAGAGCCCTAAAATTCACATGATATACTGATATAGAGCAAGACCTATGTCTAAAATTGAAGAAAATTTCGATAGAAATGTCACTCTTTTAAGATAAAACGAATACATGAGCATATATTTCAGAAACAAACGCACCAAAGAACGCAAGAATGACTTGAATGTAAAACGGGTTGTAAGAAATAAAAAGAGAGATTCTACTGCAAAACAAAAATCACATCCAAATGAAGTCATACATCAAGAAAATCCGATTAAAAACTAAAAATAAAGATAAGAACGAACCATGCAGGATGCAGCCGAAGAGAGAGAGCCGATAAGAAGCTCTCGATGGAGGGGAAGCGCCAATGGAGGACTACTGTCACCGGAGAGGAGGACCTATTGGAGGGTGTCGACTGTAGATTGAGGCTTGGCTGCGTCCGGGTGGCTCGGTGACGTAGAAACCCGGATGTTAGGCCCTATACAATTCGGGCCAAATGTTGTTCCTGGGTTTCTGGACTCTGAAATCCAGAATCATAAAAGTTAAAAATTCTCCCTTTGGTTTGTATAATGTTTAAAGAAGATTAAGATCTTCAATCAGAAGGTATGTGAGTACAAACGGCATTTAGGGAAAATGATTTAGGAGGGTAACTACCGTTTAGTTGTGTTTACATATTAGCAATTTTTTTTTTTTTTTTGTACATAATAAAGCAACTAACTTGTTTTAACTGTTTAAATTACACCAATATTACCGGCTAATATCTGTTTTAACCGGTAACTCAAAGGGAAAATGACTTAGGAGGGTAATTACCTCTTATCCATGTTCAGATATTGACAACTTCTTATTTTTTGTACATAAGAAAGCAACTGATTTGTTTTAATTGTGTAACATCCCAAAAATCATGACCAAAAATTTCGTTTTTAATTTAATACGAAAACCATAATTATCAAACCATTAATTTAATACTCCGATATCAGGCCCCGCTAATAATGAGATACAAAACATCGTCTGTATTCAGCTAATGATGAGATATGGGACCTCGTCCACACTCACCTCTTTACCATACACATACAAGTATCACACAGACAACAAGTATAATCTAACATGCAAACATTCCTCGGGCACCTGCTTGACATTAGACCTTGGTTTGGAATAACATACTAGCATACAATGTCTAGGGCTAACCCCCAGGTCTTCCTACTCATAAACTACATGGGCTGACATTGTGGCCTTAGACACATTCACACAGTGAGGAGACTCACCTTGCACTGCTCAAGCCCTGGCTGGAACTAGCTAAGTACGGACGGAGTTCCGTATCTCATTATTAGCATAATATGTTTCTTAGGATATGGATACAGTAGAGTATGTTTCTTTATGTGTTAGCATGTTATATGATTGTATGTGTTTAGCGGGCAGGGCCCAGAGACAAGCGGGCCCTAAGAGAGACAAATTTGTATACCGAGCGGGGACCGATGCCAGAGTATTAAATTAATGGTTTAACAATTATGGTTTTAGTATTAAATTAAAAACGAAATTTTTGATCATGATTTTTGGGATGTTACACAGTTAAAACAAGTTAGTTGCTTTTTTATGTACAAAAAATAAGAAGTTGCCAATATGTGAACACAGATAAGAGGTAGTTACCCTCCTAAGTCATTTTTCCTTTGAGTTATCGGTTAAAACAGGTATTAGCCGGTAATATTGGTATAATTTAAACAGTTAAAACAAGTTATTTGCTTTATTATATATATATATAAAAAAAAGTTGCCAATATGTGAATACGGATAAGAGGTAGTTACCCTGCTAAGTCATTATCCCTTTAATTTATCAATAAAGATTTAATTTAGCTGGTAACGAGGGGCTTTCTTAAATAAAAAGTAATGAGTTCAACTCTTTTTAGGTGGAGAAATTAAATATTTTTTTGTTTTTATTCCTATTTATCCTCTACCGATATTAAACAATGACAAGTATTTTAAATATCTTTCTATTTTGATTTTATTTATGCTCGTACCAATATGAAATAATAACAAATGCCTTCAAATAATGTTAATTTTATCAAAATATAACATTTATAATGACATGTAAATAGGGATCATCATTTGAACTTATGGATTGGAAACCGGACTTGGACCAATTTATTTGATTAAGGCTAGTTTTCGGTTCTTTGTCTCGTGCGAAAACGATTCGGATACAAAACCGGGTCGATCCATCAGGGTACAATTTAAAAAATATATTATTTCGTTTTAAAGATATATTAGATTTTTAGTTTTTTCTTTCTTTTTTGTATTTCATATTATGTGAAAATTTTAAAACATGTATTTCTCATTTATTTTAAGTTGGACTGACATCTGATTTTTTCCTATGAGTAGTTTATAGTTTGTAATTTTAGACTATTTTTTCATTTTGATTTTATATACAATAACTTACAATAACCCGAAGTTGGGATAATTAAGTTGGAGTTTTTCAGCTTTTTTAGTTATTTTTTGTATTTTGTATTGTGAAAATTTTAAAACATATGTATCTCGTTAGAAGTCGTTTTGGCATATAGTTTTTTTAATAACATATGTTTATAGATTGTACAATATTTTAGACTATAATTTTGTCGATTTTTGTTTATATTTAATGACTTACAATCACCCGAAGTCGGGATATCAACGCTAGAACTTTTTTTTTTTTTTTTTTTTTTTTTTTTGTATTCTTTAAATTTTCTAAAACATGTATATATTATTTGTTTGAAGTCATTTTAACATTCAGTGTATAAGTAATTATAAATTATATTTTATCTAAAACGAACAATCAAACCCAAAACATATTTGTGTTAAGCCTCATGATAGATAAACTAACTTTAGCATCAAAAAATACTTTCAATAGGGATTCAATGACTTGATCGGATGCACCTAGATTTGTACCGATCCAATGTGTACAAGAACCAAAAATTCGAACCTAGACCCGATAAGCCTCCATATGTCCAGTTCAAATGTTCACCGCTACATGTAACCCATTGTTGGTATCCATTTGATTTGTTATAGTTATTAAAGAAATTTCGACGTAAAATATATAAAATACTAGGCGAATCCTCACACGTTGTACAGAAAACAATTACATAGTTAAATATGTTGGAATTTATGATTTGTCCACGTTTTTTATGCATTTCCATATTGTTATCAATAACTTTTTTAAACATTTCTTTGTTAATGAAAGTGAGTAGACAACAATGATATGATATCTTGTGTAATGTGTTTGATCATAAATTACGATACATGTGTTATATTAATATTACGATAATGATCATAAAATTGGTACCAATTATATATATATATATATATATATATATATATATATATATATATATATATATATATATATATATATATATATATATATATATATATATATATATATATAAAAAGTTATTTTTGTAATGAAGTAAATAAAATGACATTATAATATCAAAAATTATTTAATACATCGTTTGTTTATGTCATATTGTAATAGAAGGTTATATTTAAATGTTGATAAAAATGCAACACTTTATTTATGTCATATTGCAATAGAAATGAAACAATCTCAACGGTACATACCAATATACCAAACTTTATAGACTTAAATGTTTGATATATAAATGAATTAACTTAACTTATTCTAGAATATATCATTTCAAATTTGAAAACGACAACACTCATAGTAAAATTGAAGTTTTTGATGTGATTGAACACACACACATGAATTAAGTTATAAATGAATTAAGTTAACTTATTCTAGAATATATCATTTCAAATTTGAAAACGACAAAACTCATAGTAAAATTGAAGTATTTTGATGTCGTCGCTTGTCTTCAACGACAGGACTTCTTGATTACCGATCAACGAATGTGTGTTTTTCATGGTTGGCAACGACAAGGGCGGAAGAAGTAAGCCTAATTCGAATTATGCATGTCATGTCGACAATTTTGTTATGAATTTCCCACTTGACGTTGAGAGTAAGGCCTTATGGTCTATATATAAGAAGATTGTGAATGTGTCGGATCTTTATGTGGCTCAGAAACTATCAAAACTCGGTAAGAGATTTTGTTTTTGTAATATCCATAAAATTCATGAAAAATTTAAACTTTTCAAACAATTCCACAAACCACCATTGTTTAAAAAATATTTTTCAAAACTTATTTATTATCAGAGTTTTCCCAAAATCATAAAACCAAACACGAGGAGGTGCACTATCGCGCCTTTGCCTTCCCGCGATCATCTGAGGTACCTGAAACATAATCCAAAACTTTAAGCTCAAAACTTAGTAAGTTCCCCAAAATACCAACCCAACACAAAACCATAATAATAACATTAAACAATATGCATACAGAGTCTTCAGTCTGACTAGAACGCCCCACCTGCCTGCAGTCTACCTGGTGTGCACACAGAACCTACAACATGACTGGCACGCCACACCGAGCCTTCAACCTATCTGGATCGTTTTCAGGGCCTTCGGCATGACTGGTACACCCTACTGGCCTTCAGTCTATCCCGGACGCCCTGGGTCTGTTAGCCTTCAACACAAAGCAGTACCGCCTCAACCCAACCACACATACACCATGTCGACACACATATATAACATATAATTATCCAATTAATCATCCAATAACAAGCAAATAGATCTTACAAATCACTAAGCATAACATTATCCTATCTACCAAGATACAGATCTAATAGATCACAATTGTACCTAATCATACGATAATCATGATAACAATCTAAAGGGCCGACCTTGGTGCCTTCGACCCATAAGTATAGTGAGGAAAACTCACCTCACACTGTTGAATCAAACTGAAAGTCTCCGATTGCTGGCTTACCAAAATCCCCACGATATCACAACAAAATAATCATCCAATTAAAAATGGATTACAACCAAGGCTAATAGTCTATCATTAGGGTAAAAGGCCACTTTACCCTTTTCCCTAATTGGGCTAAGACCCAGGCCCAAATCTTGATCCAAAAGGCCCAAAACTATACTCCTACTTGGGCCTTACCCTAAGGTCCATCTCTCCACTTAGCTCAAAACACCCATACTCATATGGTCCAATAAGGGCCCAAGCATCCAAACCCAAGATGTGGCCCAAAACTTGAAGCCTAGATTCCTAAACCCAACAGACTGAGTATGCGGGGCGTACCTAGCTGTACACCCAACATACGTGGTGGCCATGCAAAACTTCGAATAAGAACTTATTTCATTCAGTCCAAACGTCTAATAACCAGATCCAGGTCTAATAAGGTGCTCTTAACCATAAAGTTTCCAACTTTATAGTTATGCATGCATCATTAAGACCCAAGACCAACCTCCTAGTAGGTCTCAACCACTAAGGACCTCTACACTTTGCATGAAAGCACTAAATGAGTCAAGAAAACATTTTTATGACTTAACACAACTCAAATCTTCTGAAAAGATAACTCCTTTGGTCTTAGAGTAACATTTACTCATCAAGTCCAAGAAAAAAGGGACAAACTCATGAAACTCCATATGGCTAAATCT